GTCGTACAACTCATGAGATCGGTAATAGAAGAAGGGCACGCCGAGATAAACTCCACGAGTTTAACATGGGATTGGAGAAACAAGTATATAGAGTAGTTAAAGAACGGGAAACTTCCATCGGATCCAAAGGAATCGAGAACTCTGCGCACAAAGGCAGCACCATCGCTTTGTCCGAAGACGGAACGCTGTTTAGAAGAACGTTCGATGGACTGTTAGCAATATGTTTAGGACCAGGAGATACCGACTACATCCTACGAGAATTTCACGAAGACACTTGTGGGAATCATTTCGGTGCCGAATCGCTGGTCCACAAAGTAATTAGAGCAGGGTACTATTGGAACGATATGGAGAAGGATGCAAGGGAGTTCGTTCGAAAATGCGACAAATGCCAAAGGCATGCGCCCATGATTCATCAACCCGGGGAACTACTCCACTCGGTCCTCTCCCCATGGATCTTCATGAAATGGGGAATGGACATCGTTGGCCCTCTTCCGTCGGCCCCAGGTAAAGTTCAGTTTATTTTATTTTATTTTATCTACACCCGAGTCAGTTTTGTTAACTTCAAAAAATAATTTTACCTGCTCGGATAAATCGGCTTGTTCTTTTCGAGCTGCTTCTAGCTCAGTCCGAAGTCCTTCTGCTTCTCCTTCTCTCTGCTCACTGAGAATCTTAAAGGCATCTCTCTCCTCAGTAAGCCCTCATATTTCGGCTTCGTACCGTCTCAGCTCCCCTCGGGATCGGAGAAACACTTCATGGTGAAGCATAGAGGCCTACAAAATAGAAAGAAAGAATTATACAAGGAAAGAAAAATACAAGCATGAAAATTGACAAAGAGAAAATAAACTTACCTGATTCAGGGCCTGTTGAGCTTTGTTGAAAGACAAGAAACTCCTGCCTCGCCCGAGCTCTTCTTCAGAGCCTCCAAGTCATCAGACCGGTGACATCTTCTGCCCCGATAAAATAACCACGGAAAGGATCTTCCTCTTCATGGGGCCCCCTCCCCGTGACAAGTCTCCATGGCTTGAGCGTCACGTATCATCGACTGGGAAAATGAAGGAAATGAGGGGGAATCCTCGATCTCTATTACCCCAAGTAGGTTTTTTTAGGCACCACCTCTCTCTCGACGAGTTTCAAGCCCGGTTTCTGCGTCGGCATCCACCGCCTCTTCAATGGTATCTTCCCCCCGAGGTAAAGTATCTTTGGTTCCCCTCGGTTCAGAAACTTGGGCTGGAGTCTCCTCTTCGACCTCACAAACCTAGACGGAGCAGTATCGACTCCCACCAGTTCCGAAGTATTCTGAATATCGGCGCTAGCTCATGCACGGGCCACCAGCCCAGAATCACCTTCTTCTTCTTCTTCTTCTTCTTCTTCTTCTTCTTCTTCTTCCCTTAGTCTTTGGACCGACTCCATAGTCAGTGGGATTGTGTTCCCCTTGGGTTTACGTGCCATTCTTTTCTTGGTTTTTTGACCCTCGGAGTCCAAGGCCCTTTTTCTTTTAATCACCTTTGCCGGTTTCGAGATTGGCGGTAAGGCTTCGTCATCACCGAACGACGATCTCATAGCCGCATCCTTTCCGAGACCTACAAAAGGAGAAAGTAAGTAAATTCATTCTTAAGAAAATGCTCGAACGATAAGCAAATCGGTAATCCAAGAAGAAGGCCTACCATGAGTACGAGCCTCCCACCGGCCCTTTGACAAATCGCGCCACGCGCGCTCGGTGTATGTTGACGTCGAAACCAGGCTCCTCACCCAGTTCTCGAGGTAGGGAACCGCATCTGACATCCAAGCAATGGCTGCATCGAGAAAAACGCTAACGAGAAAGGATGAAAAAGTAAAAACAGCGAACGGAAATTAAAAACGGGATCATACTTACGTTTCATATTCCATTTCTCAGGAAATGGCATACTTTCGGTCGAGATTAGGTCCGAGGTCTTCACCCGAATGAATCGGCCCATCCAGCCCCGGTCTTTGTCTTCATCTATACTCGAGATGAACGCCTTGGCGGCCTGGCGTAGTAGCTTTATCAACCTACCTCAATAGATTCGAGGGCTGTATAATCTTACGAGGTGGTTGAGGGTGAAAGGGAGTCCATCGATTTTACTCATGAAGAAACGGAGCAATATCACGATCCTCGAGAAAAAAGGGTGAATTTGGCCAAGGGTCACCTAGTATTTCTTATAGAAATCGACGATGATCGGATCTAGGGGACCCAGCGTGAAAGGATAGATGTAAACACTCAGATACCCTTCCACGTGGGTAGTGATCGCTTCCTCCGGTATCGGTATCACAACCTCTTTGTTTTCCCAATTGCAATCTTTCTTCACGATCAAAAAGACTTTTGGGTATCGAGCATATATATCTCGATACCGGCTCGCATCGACCAGCAACCTATGAGGTTTTCTCTACCTTAATATCGGAATCAATAACACACACCCCGGGAATAAGTTCCTCAAGGCGCGGCTCCACCACTGGTTTCTCGCCGGCCGGCTGAGATGAGGAAGCAACCTCTTTCTGCGGAACGGTTTTAGATATTTTTGCCATTTAGTTTTTGTGAACAAAGGAGAATGGATATTAAAGTATTTGGTGTTTTAAGAAGAACAAGCAACGAAATTTGAAAACCTGAAAATAGGGAGCTTTGGAGAAGGCGAAAAACTATGAAGATAGGAATGGAAAAGTTTCGAAAATAAAAGTTTGGAATGATGAAGAAATGAGCTATTTGTTGGTTTCACAATGACGGTTCAAAATTGGTAATGGCCGGCCATCAACTGACGCACATTTAATACCTTGGTAACCGGACCGACGGGACGTTTGTCGCATACGTCACAATCGGGCTTGTCGCTGATATAATCATCCACCAAGTCGAAGTTTGAAAATTCATATCGTTTCTCATCATTTTCTTTCTGAGAAATGAGGGGACTATCTGTATACGGTCGAAACCGAGTTTTGCCCTTCATATGATTAATCGAGATTGGAATATGATGATTCAAGGTTCATCAATATAATATCGATCCATGGTACAAAGAATATGCTGCCGAGATCGAGACCTAGAGACCGATCAAGATCGAGATTGGTCAAGATCGAGCTCGAAGACCCAGAGACCGATCAAGATCGAGATCAGCCAAGATCAAGATCGGTCACGATCAAGATCGATCCAAGAAACAAAAAGTCATAACAACCGCAATTAGGGGGAGAATCTCGGCAGAAATCATGACACGTATCAAGAAGAGGCCGATTAATTAGTCCATCATGAGAGTCCTTACTATATTTAGAATTGTATCAAGAGTAGGACTCCCCTACTATATAAAGGGGGTCTGATCATTTGTAAAGCACGACGGGGAGAGTAAAAAAAGTAATATTTTATTCTTTTCTCAAGGTTCTCAATACTCTGTTACTTCGCTTATATTTCCTTTGTTGTTTCATTTGGTTCGAGGGCCCAAGCTACATATCTCATTTGGTTTGCTTTTAGTTTTCTTTACAGTCAATTTCAATATCAGTTTGCATTATTTCTCAGTTTATGCCAAGTAAAATCACGTGTCCTTAAAACCACATATAAATTCAATTGTTATCTGCTTTTAGGGTAAACATATATATTCTTCCTTAATAATATTATTTATTTCCTCTATTTTAATTTTTTGGCAATATTACAATTTGAGGAATTTACGAAATTGTTCTTTGATCATGTTTTTCTTAAATATTTTATAAAAATTTTGAATTATAAATTATAATACTTTTATGTTACTTTTACATATGTAAATTTTATTTCCATAAACTTGAGGAATCTATGCTAGCGTTTGGCCATAAATTTCTAAATTTATTTTTAAAAATCTGATATGGGTGAAGTTTGGTTTGAGGATGAAAATCCGTTTTGACATAATTTTTCAAAACATATTTTACTTTTTTTTTAAAACACATAAAATGTGACTTATTCCCATAAGTTCTAGAAATTATCAAAAATCCCCAACACTACCAAACAAACGTACTTGTTAATCCTGTATATGCAGAACCTTTATTGATGACATTCATTATTATTATCGCTAACCATAATCCTGAACATAGATAAGTTTGACATAAAATTATTATTTTTATAATGAACTACATAATCCACTGTTCTAAAATCATAACCTAATATTTTAAAATCAACTGGTAATAACATAATTGCTAGCTACTATAATTCGTCAAATTGCAATAATATTACAAGATCCATCAGTCCAAAAGAAAATTATAGTAATTAGCCGGTGGATTAGTTGGGTCATAATAGATGGCGGACTTTTTTATATAATACAAAAAGTTGGGATAATTTTTGAAATTATTAAAAAATTCAACAGTTATATTTTGGGCCAAACGCAGGTCTAGAGCTAGTTTTGGGATTTGAAAATTTTGTTTTCAAAATCTGCCAAAACATGGATAAAATCTATAAACAAATATATTTTTCAAAAACTTTTTTGAAAAAAATTAGGCAAAATCTATGACTAAAGGGGAGCTATATTTAATTTTACGGTCCAAGTTAAAAATTTTAGGGGAAGAGATCATACTTTTCTCGGTCCTTTCGATATTTTGTTTTGGTTTGGTGTGATATGAAAATAAATGACATCAGTTAGCCACTCTAAAGGAATGACATTTACGAATTAGCTAATGCATCTTAAATTTTAGATTTTAGGTTTAATTAGCTAATGCATATTAAATTTTAGATTTTATGTTCAATTTTTCGAGATACAAATATTCTGAATTATCCTGAAATTAAGATTTTTAGTTCAAAATTTTCGAGTAAATAAAATTTCTAAATAGTAGCATTAAGAATGATTGTTTGTGTACTTGGCTCGAAAATCAAAACAATCAACAAATGCAACTACTACTACTACAACAACAACAACAACAACAACAACAACCTAGTATAATCTCATTAGTGGGGTCTGAGGAGGGTAGTGTGTACGCAGACCTTACCCCTACCCTGGGTTAGAGAAGCTGTTTCCGATAGACTCTTGGCATCCCTTCCTCCAAGAACTCTCCACCTTGCTTTTGGGGTAACTCGAACTCACAACCTATTAATTGAAAATAGATGGTGCTCACCACTGGAGCAACTTGTGAACCCTCTTTAATTTCTTGTGAGCCCTCTTTAATCGAAGAAAGTAGTTGACGTGGTTACACGGATGACACACCGAGTTGTTTACTCGTTTAAGCTTACCACGACGTGTTGACTTGCGCTACACCAAATACGAAATTACCATGATATTATAGCCCTCCCTTCCTTCTCTAAATCATTGAACATCTCTAAAGTCTAAACCACACCTATATATTTCCATCCAATTATCCAAAAGTTCACAGCACACAATCTTTCTTGAACTTTTCTCATAGTCCAAACAATTTCATGGATCCAACACAAGCCAAAACTACCTCCGGAGCCAGTCATTCGTTGTCCCATAAGCCCAACAGCCACCCAAAACCATCCAAATCTGAGCTGATGTCCAGCGCTAAGCTAGTGGCCGACGCGGCCAAAGCAAAACTCCATCACGAGCCAAACAGTAAGGTCGACAAGTCTGAGCTCGCCGGAGCCGCCGCTGACCTCCTTAACGCCGCCTCACAGTACGGCAAACTAGAAGAGAAAGGGATCGGAAAGTTCGTCGGAAAAGCAGAGACTTATCTCCACAAATATGAAACTTCTCATTCCACCACCACCTCCACGACTGAACACACGCAGTCCTCGGCGCATACAGGGGGAAAACATGAACAATCCGGAAGTGGATATGGCGAGTATATTAAAATGGCTGAAGGAATTTTCAAGAAACATTCCGATGGCACCCACTCATCGGAATCCGGCGGAGGTAAAAAAGGAGAGTATCTTAAAATGGCTGGAGATTTCTTGAAGAAGCATTGACTTGTACTATGTGAATTCCTTTTTATCGTTTGTTTTAGAATTTTTTTGCTGCAGTTCTACTATTGTTATCTATCAGTGGATAGGTGTGATTTGTAATGTGTGGCCTAGGCTGCATTGCCAATGAAAATAATTTTGTTTTAACATGTTATCCAAAAACTGTCATGTCATCAAAATTATTGTTTTCTTTACTAAAATTTGGTCCTATTAATATTCAACTTTTCCTGCCATAATATGTCTCAAGGGAATGTAGTTGGCAGTGTTAATGCGATGATAACGATTGTGCCTCGATCAGAAAATATAGCTTGTTTATTTTTTCTTTTCCAATAAAAGAAGTCAAGTGACTCAGTTTCCCTGCATAAAAGTTAGAGCGATCTTCAAAATGTTAATCTTGTACATTATTTAAGGCCTTCTTGTAATTGAACTTGCTTAATAGCACGGACATGTTGCTGGAATTTTCCCAGCTGATCTGATTTTATTTGCTTTCTCTTTCACCTTAAGCTCTTCATTTTCTTGATTTTGCTCTGCTTGTGATTTGGCTCCTCCTGCTATGTGTTCAATCCTTCCAATATCACTGTAGAAACTGTCCCTTGCTTTCGCCCTTCGCCTGTCTAATTGTGCCTGTTATTTCATTCACAATGTAGTCAGCAAATGAATAACATTCAGCAGGTCATATTGTATAAATTGGAAACAAAATTAACCTCAGTTTGCTCTAAATGGCGCTTCGCCTTTTTCTTCTTTTTAGTCTCCCAGTCATGTATTACTTTCTTGAGCTTCTCATACCTGAAACTTCTCTTATTAGTTATCAGGACAGCAATTTGTTCAAGTATAACATAGAAAGCACAACATAATTGTCAATAAGCACACATACCGTTCTTTGATCTTTTTCATCTCTTCTTTCTCCCAAATATCTGCTTTAGAATTTCCAGTTCCAGGCTTTGTTGTAATTGGTCCTTTTGCCATCTCTAGTTGAGACGTAGATTGTCTAGTTGGCGGTAAGGCAAGCTTGGGCGCCATAGTCTCTGGCGTTTTAGGAGTTGTGATGTCAATGTTCTTATCTGCAAATGTGGTTGCATTCTTCTTAGGGGACGGGACAGAGTTAGTAATTGGTTCTTTATTGACCGTTGCTGTCCGTATTACAACATTTTTGTCTTGAACTTTTGAACTTGATTTTGAAGCTTTGGCATCTGTTTGTGAATATGGAGAAAATGATATAACATGTTATATATTAAAAGAAGAAAACCTAGAACTACTTCAAGCCTTCTTGTAATTACCAATGGATTTTTGACGTCTCCCAGTAATATCAGCTGCTTTACTTTGTATCTTGCTTAAAGGATTATCAGCTCCACCACTTGTCTTTCTTTGTTCTCTATTGCTCTTGTCTTCAATTGATTTTACAACAAATGCAGCTACAGCTACTGCAGTTGGGTAGTCAACACCATTATTGGAGTCGTGATCCCGATTCGTCTGTCTTGTGAACTGTCTTTCTAACCAGCTAACGGTTCTTTTTGTGTCTGCCAAAGAAAAAATACGAAGGGATTCAAATAATTATCTTTTGTTTTTGCAAAATTCAGACTCCGAAAAGCCATATTAGTAAGAGCACATCAAGGATTCGGACTCTTCCGCAAACAAAAACTTGATACTTAAATGGAGAACGGAAGAGAGGTGGATCCATTATTCAACTAGTTTTGAGCCGTGCCCCACTGACTCTCAGAAATTTATGGGTTAGTAAAAAAGAATTACATTATGAAGAGCCTATTTACTACCTTTTGACGTTTGTGTTTTCTGGTGAGGTATTCGTCTGTCTCTGTTGCTGCTTCTCCCTTCTTTCTCTTCTTCCCCTGCAGCAGAGAAACTCACCCTAAAAGAAATTGTGAATTCTTATAGGGAAAGAAGGGAACAAAAAATATTTTGACAACTATACTTTAAAAGGAAAAAAAAAAAGAAGTTTATGATTTCCCTTACCTCGTTGGCTTAAGCATATCCATCATTTAGAATGGTACCTTAGTTTGAAACTAATTCAACAGTGAATATCTGATTGGTGCCTATTTGAAGAAGTATGATTTTGTTTGGAAGAGGGGATTGAAGGAGCAAAATTAAGGTATCTAAAACACAGGTGTTCAAGTATTCTTTCCTTCTAATTAATGGCTAATGCTTTTTCATGAAGAGGCTGTGATTCCTTTCCTGTGAACACTTTTTAGGTTTCCCTTCTACTTTGTACAGACTTCTAATTTCCAGAAAACTTGAACAGAAGAATCTAAATATTCTGAGCAGTCCTTTTTCTCATTATGCAATCATAGGACAGAAAGTGCCTTAATCAAAATTCCATCATTCAAAGTAACGAATCAAACGAATCTAAGAATGTTAGATGACTAAAACATTGTAGTATGGCTTAAATTAAACTCCGGGCAGGCAGCCTGGTGCACAAAGTATCCGCATTCACGCAGGGTCGAGGGAAGTATCGCACCCCAAAGGGGTACGATGTAGACAGCCTACCATAGTGCAAGTATTAATGGCTGCTTCCACGGTTCGAACCTGTGACCTATAGGTCACATGAACACAACTTTATTGTTGTTCCAAGTCTCCCCTTGAAACTTCCTGCATGAATTTCACAAATTATAGGGAGGACCACTACCGGATAAATTAAAAGGGTTGTGGTAAGTTAACGGTAAGGAAAATATATAGTTTTACGGTGACGAATCACTATCTGTCTGCATAGACACGTGTTACATCATCATCTAGTGTGGTATTGAAGGAATTGGATAATGCGAAATGAATAAAGATAATTCATATTTTAGATTAAAATCTTTGAACTACTTGATTAGAATTAAAAGCAAAAGGAAGGAAAAAATAGGTAATCTGGATCGGTCTAGGATGAATATTTTGGTGTAAATCTCTCTCTATTTTGATATTAAACGAGTCTTGATAATAAATTCTTGCAAAACACTTACCAGAACTTTTCTTGAAAAGTGTTACCGAAGCCGAGTACTCTCCTGACCCCGAAACCCTAGCTTTCCGATACCTCCAAAAATTAGTATCCCAATTACTGATGGGGTATTGAGCAGCTAAGCTAAGAACGGAGAAAAAGAAATTAAGCTAGCTAAGGAATTAAGATGATTTTCATAGATAGATTCTCTAAGAGATAATTACAGCATATAAGGATGAGCTCAAGGCTTTCCAATTCTCCAATTCGTACCAAATACAAGTCTATAGCTGTCTCTGACAAATAACTAACTCTACCTAGGATTGAATCTGCTAACAAGGAAATGTCGAGGGGACTTAATTGGAATAAAATAAACTTTCTATTTACAAACGTCTAGGACCAATGTATAACTAAGGTAAACTAAATAACAGCTCGCACCAACAACTACGTACTACTACCAAAACAATGGTTACAATCTTCATAGCATACACAATATTTTTTTCCTCCTTAAAAAGATTCCTTGTCATCAAGGAAGAATTGTGAAAATTGAACCTTCAGAGCGTGATAATCTTCCTAAGTGAGATGATTTGGGGGAAATTGCTCCACTGAATAAGAACTTGCGCCACAGCTTTGTTGCCCTTCTTTATCATCCTTCTATCAATAATTGCCTTAGGAGCTGGACAATAGAAATTGGTTAGCTCGAGAACAGGTGGTTGATGAATAGCATCAGGAATTTTGTGACAAGGCTTGAGTAGGGAAACATGAAAGGTGGGGTGTATGGCAATGTGATCAGATATGGCTACTTTGTAGGTGACAGGACCAACTTTTTGCAGGGCCTAATAAGGCCCAAAGTATTTAATAGACAGTTTGGAGAAATGAGATACGAAAAGGGTGTATTGTCTATAAGGCTGAATTTTGAGATAAACCCAGTCACCAACTTGGAAGTTCTTGTCAGTTATGTGGGCATTGGCATAAGAGATCATTCTTTGTTGTGCTCGAGCCAAATGGAACTTGATCAATTGGAGCTTAAGTTCCCTCATTGTTAAACTTCTATCCACATATTTATCCACAACATCACCAAAAACATAAGGCAAATAAATAGGGGGTGGCTGACCATAAAGAGCTTCATAGGGGGTTAACTGAATGGCAGAATGATGGGTAGTGTTGTACCACCACTCAACCAATATCAAGTATAAATACCAGTCTTGAGGTGAGTTTGAGTAATAACACCTTAAGAAGGTTTCCAAGCATCTATTGAGTACTTCAGTCTGCCTATTGAATTGAGGGTGATAAGTTGTTGAAGTTCTTGAAGTTACACCATGGGTAGAAAATAGTTCATGCCAAACCTTGCTCACAAAGATCGGATCTCTGTGACTCACAATGTTTTCAGGCATGTCGGCTCTTAAATGTTATCTAGGAAAAGTTGAGCAATGCCTACAGCTGAATAAGGATGAGGGAATCCAACAAAGTGGGCATACTTATTGAGTCTATCCACTACTACCTAGATAACTGACTTTTCTTTAGACTTAGGCAAACCTTCTACAAAATCTATATTGATACTAGACCATGCCCTATGAACAATTTCTAGTGGTTGCAGCAGCCCAGTGTAAGGGGAATTTTCATACTTGCTCTTCTAACAAATGTCACATTGCTTAACATAATATGCAACATCCTCCTTAACACCCTTCCAATAAAACAGAGAAAAAACTCTCTTATAGGTATTGTGTTATTGATTCCAGAATACCCAGCCACATGTTGATCATGCCAAGTGCTGAATCTTCTTCTTCAACTGAGAGCTATTACCAACCACCAACCTCCCATTTTTCTGAGTTGCTTATTGATAAATGTGTAACCCTTGTAATCACCACCATTGCTGAGAATTAATTAAATGAGGTTCTGTACTTCTTGATCATCTTTCCAAATCTCAATCACTTATTGGAATAAGGTGACTCCAGCATTACTGATGAACATGGTTGCCAGTTCACCTATAGTAGTCTGGATAAGGAGTCATCATCAGTGTTGTCTCTTCCATTCTTGTATTCAATAAAGAAATCAAATTGCATTATCTTGGTTATCCATTTTAGCTGGGTGCCTGTATGTAAGTTCTGCTCCAAGAGGTACTTGAGGGTTTTTTTTATCTATCCTCACCAGAAAATGTCTTTCCCTTGGGGATTGATACCATTTATTGATAGCCAACAACAATAACAATAACATACCCAAAATATTCTCGTATGTGAGATCTGGGGAGGGTAGTATGTACGCAGATTTTACCCCTACCTGGTGCTAATAGCTTGTTGTCATAAATAGACAAGGCCTGGTATTTAGTTGATAGACCTTTACTGATGTAGGCTATGGGGTGGCCTTGTTACATCATAAATGCTCCAATCCCTATGTCACAATCATCATTCTCAATTATAAACTGCTGGAAACTGTCTGGCAAAGCCAGGACTAGTGTCGTAGTAAGGGCCTCCTTCAGCTACTCAAAAGCTATGGTAGCATGTTGATTCCAGTTGAAGTTGTCCTTCTTGAGTAGATAAATCAATAGCTTGTTAATGAGCCTATATTCCTGAATAAACCTTCTGTAATAACCAACCAATCCTAGAAACCCCCTAAGTTATTTAATGGTGACTGGTAAAGGCCAATTTTGAAGTGCAGAGATTTTCTTGGGGTCAGTAGCCACACCATCAGCTGAAATCGAGTGTCCTAAATACTCAATTATGTTGGTTCCAAAAGAGCATTTAGACAACCTCACAAACAGACTTCCAAATTTCAAATGTAATCTTGAGGTGTCGCATGTGTTCTTCCAATTCTTTATTGAACACAAGGATATCATCAAAGAACACTAGGATGAATTTCCTTAAGTGTTCTCTGAAAATATGGTTCATCAGTCCCTGAAAATATGATGGAGCATTGGTAAGACCAAAAGGCATTACCAGGTACTCATAATGGCCTTAGTAAGTTTTGAAGGCTGTCTTAACAATGTTAGCATCATCTACCCTTATCTGATGGTAACCAGTTACGAGGTCAAGCTTGGTGTAAATTTTAGACCCTCCCAGCTCTTCCAGAAGTTCCTCTATGACAAGAATAAGAAACTTATCTTTTATAGTAATCTTATTAAGAGCGCTATAAACCATACAAAATCTCCAAGAACCACCTTTCTACTCACCAATACCAAAGGGGAAGCATAAGGACTAGAGCTAGGTTGTATGATGCCTTGTCCTAGCATCTCTTGGATCAGTTTCTCAATGATATCTTTATGGGCAGAAGAGTATTTGTATGGTCGGGTGTTGACAGAGTTGCTACCAGTGGCTAAAGGAATTATGTGATCAAATGGGCCTTTGGTAGGAGGAAGGCCAGTTGGCTCTGAGAATAGCAGCTGATACTCAGACATCAACTTTTGAATACCTGAGTCCATAGTTTGATCCTTCCCGATTTCCTATTGTGGAACCACCCTAACCATGTAGATCTGGGCATCACACTTAACCATCTTGTCCAAGGATCTTGCATCCACTGTTTTTAACTCAATGGTCTCACCTTTTAACAAATGGTTCCTTCCTTCAAACATGAACTCCATGATTAACTTACTGAAATTCATCTTCATATCACCAATGTTCACCAACCACTGGACTCCCAATACAATATCACAAGAACCCAAAGGAAGTACTAGCATGTCAGATTTAAAAGTTGTTCCCCTCATGAGCCATTGAAATCCAGACAAATCTAAGTAGTGCCCACAAAACTACCATCAACCACCTTAATAGACTGTGTTGCCACTATTTGGATATGTGCAGCCCATTTCTCACCAAAATTGGAGCCAATGAAATTATGTGTACTACCTAAATCAATCAAGATACTAATTAGAACTTGTTCAGTATAACCTGCCACCCTCAGAGTTTGGTAGCCAGCTATACCATTCAATGCATTTAGAGAAATAGCACAAGGCTCCATATGGAGCACATTCTCAGTAGCCACTCCTGCCTTCCCATTTTCCTCTTCCTAAGCTACCTCATTCCCATTGAATTCTAGCTCACATAGCTGTTGAAGTACCTCCTGACTTTCATATTCAACTTCCACAATCTCACCCCTTTCTTCCAGCTCCAATAAGTACAATTATTTAGCGGTTTTGCATTTGCGCCCTGAAAAAACTTTTCATCACAAAATAACATAACCCCTTAAGTCTCTTATCATTCAATTCAGTTGGGGTAAGTCTTTTTCCCTTGTTTCTTCCATAGTGGTGAGAGGGTTCAGGGAGTCCTTTTGGTGCTGGTTTGGGAGGATCATAAGTGGCTAAGGTCGTGGTTCTAGGGGTGGTAGAATGGTAGTGAGTTTGTGTGATTTGCTGCTTTTTAGCTAGGCTAGATAAATAGAGTCATGCAGCCTAGCAAACTAACAAACATGGGGTAGTGAAAAGAGCCTATGAGCCTTAACCAGATCTCAAATTTTAGGTTTGAAACCAGTGATGAAACAGCTAATGGCATTCTCATTAGATAAGGTTAATATAGCCATAGATTTATCAAACTTATTTTGGTATTCTATCACCCCTCCCATTTGAGTGAGTAATTTAACCTCAATCATAGGGTCATCATATCCAACCCTAAATCTATCAATAATAGCATATAAGTATTCATCCCAACTAGGGTAAGGCAAGTTCAATATGCTTTTAAAATAAGCTAAGTGTCATTCAATAGCAACGCCATCGAAATTAATAGAAGCTACTTTAATACACTAGGAATAGTGTATGGGATCAACAGAGAAGAATTGTTCGACCTTGTACAACCACGATCTGAGTTTAGTGTCATCAAAGTGAGGGAAGTCAATCTTACCCACTTTTGATAACAGATTCTGAGAAGAAGCACTAGCTCCTTGTGAAGTAGCAGTGCTTCCAGCTCCCAATGGTCTTGGAGTGTTTCCTATCGAAGTTCCACCAGCCATATTGCCACCATGATATTTTCAGTCACCCCAAAGGGATATGTGGTGGGTAAATAATTCTCAACGCCTTTCGGAAAGGCCACTCCATTATTTCTATTGGCCTGCCTCTTATTCGACTTAATCGTTTCTCGTAACTCTATTAATGCTATGTCTCTCGTCTCCTCTAGTTGGCCTTGCCTCATCGTGAGGTTGGCCAAATCCATTGAGATTCTTGCAAGAGCATCAGTAACCCCCTTGAGGTCAGATGCCATTTCTCACAGTGCGAGGACCACTGCTTTGATACCAAATGATGGGGTATTGAGCAGCTAAGCTAAGAGCGGAGAAAAAGAAATTAAGCTAGCTAAGGAATTAAGATGACTTTCAAAGATAGATTCTCTGAGAGATAATTATAGCATATAAGGATGAGCTCAAGGTTATCCAATTCTCCAATTCGTACCAAGTATTATAGATGTCTCTGACAAATAACTAACTCTACCTAGGATGGAATCTGCTAACACGGAAATGTCCAGGGAACTTAACTGAAATAAAACAAACTTCCTACTTACAAACATCTTGGACTGTCAGATTAGGAGAAGATTTGTTATAGATGTACAACAGCTTTAGGGAAGATATATTTCTATAAATAGCTGAGATATTTTTTCCATATTTATCTTAGGAAGATCAGATATGATATGTATCCCTGATTTGTAGAGATATCCCTAGCTGGCTTTATTTGTAATCTCTGTATATAAACCCCTAGTCTGTACATTGTGAAGATGAGAAAGACAATACACATTTTTCTTCTCCTTTTAACATGGTATCAGAGCTTTTGGCTCTTTCGTGAGAGAATTCCTTTTCGCTTCTCATCATTCTATTAGGATTGAAATTTTTTGTTTCCCTTCTGGACTTGTTGAAACCCGAAGTCAAGGATAAAATGTCTGAAACAACCAAGATCAGTCCTACTATCATCACAACCAGTGATATTCTTAGTACGGTTAAGGAGATATGGAAAGCAATCCAACAAACCTACTCAAAGGTAAATGATGTGGCCCGAATCTATGAACTCAAGATGAAGGTTACAGCCATGAAACAGGGGGCACGATCAGCCACTGAATATGCCAATCTCTTGCAGGGACTGTGGCAAGAGATTGATCACTACCAATGCATTCAGATGCTATGCCCAAAAGATGCAGTAACCTTGAAGCGCTTTATAGAAAGGGAACGCACATATGAATTCCTTGCTGGACTTAATGTTGAACTTGATCCAGTAAGGGTACAAATATTGGGAAAAGAGGAACTTCCATCACTGAATGAAGCAGTCTCAATAGTACGGGCTGAAGAAGGGCATAGTAATGTTATGCTTGACACTCAAGCCGGAGAAGGATCAGCATTTGTTGCAAAGAGGGTTGGGCAGAAGGAGAATGGCATGCTACAGTCATCAGACAATTCTACCAATCCAACAAATGCTTCAAAACTATTCAATAGAGATTCTCTCTATTGCACCTACTGTAAGAAGCATCGCCACACAAGAGAGATGCTGGAAGCTTAATGGCAAACCACAGAACAATAACCATAGGGGCAAGAATGGGAGACATGCTTATGTTGCTAACATGGACCAAGTGTAACTAAGGTAAACTAAATAACAGCTCGCACCAACGACTACATACTACTACCAAAGCAATGGTTACAATCTTCAGAGCATACGCAACAATTACACAAATCCACTACTGACACCGGTTCAATGAATGCTAGCCCATACTCATTCTCTCATATTACGCGCCTTAGGGCCGTATATCCCCTAGCGACGTTTGAAAGAAGCATAGGCAAAATTATGTATGTAAGATATTGCTTTTTGTGATTCAAATACATTAATCGAGGGGGGAAAAGATTTGTTTTTAAGTGATTCGGAATAATGAGTAAAGTTTTACTAATTAAGGAAGATCTGCTATTCTAATAAATGTTTTCCTATTTCGTTTGAATTGACATTATTGTGTCAATTAATGTTATCATATATTTTACTTATGAAAGCCACCTGCAGGTTGGCTGAATTCTTTTAATGTGGAAAAATGTGATCTCGTAATCTTCAAATTGTTATCATAATTTAATAAGAAATTATACAAAATATAATTAGTCAATCTTTTTGTGGAAGCAATTTTCTTATTCTTTCCACGAGGTCCATTTTCTTTCAAGCTTGGTTTGTCGTATCTTTCATGGAAGAAGAAAAAGAGATCCACTAATAGATAAAATTCCCCTGTCTTGAAGTAAGTACGAATTATAATATTAGACGAAATTCGCATAATGTTTGAGAAGACACTTTTAGTTATTCAAATTGTACAAAAGGGCGTTGGATCTTTGGTAAGAACGCAACGCATAATATGTAGGTATTTAAGAATGCACGCTACAAGTTGGAACCTATGGCAAATAAAAGTCTGGTATTTAAGTGGAGAAAAACACATGAGTTAGCCTATTATTCATCGAGCTTCATATCACGCGTAAGCTGGTTTTTGGAATTTCTTGTTTCTCAAAAATAATTTGTACAAAATGCATTGAGAAACCAAAAATATAATTCAGAAAACCAACCATATCAAGTGTCAGAACCATGTAGTACATCTGCACTATAATCGAATTGATTGTTAATAGTTTCCAAAAGTTCATGGATTCGAACCAATTGAGGGTGAGTTTTCTCACCTGCAATGAACTCATGAACAACACCAGTGATCTCAAGGGAGCTGCAACCTGGTACCTTGTCTATATATTGGCTTTTCATCTTCTTCCTTATCCTTCTTGCACCATCATGTTTACCGGCTGCAACATAAATATTAGAGAGTAGAACGTATGCTCCGCTATGCCTTTCTAACTGCACAATCCTCTCAGCAGCAGCCTCCGCCAAATCGACTAGTCCATCATTCCCAAAGGCGCTTAGTAATGCTCTCCAAGCTATAGCTTCTTCAGAAGGAACACTCAAATTAGGCATGTTTTGGACTATCTTCTTTGCTTCCTCTAGCAGCCCGACTTTGCTGAGGACGTCGATAATGCATCCATAATGTTCACCTTTGGGCTCAATATGGTACACATTACACATTAAATTCAACATATTTAGACCTTCATTTGCCATGCCTGCATAACTACAAGCAGTAAACATTGAAACAAATGTAACATCATCCGGCCTAATCCCGGCACTTTGCATTTCATTGAATAACTGTAGGGCTTTTGAACCATTTCCATTCATAGCAAATCCTGAGATCATAGCATTCCAACAAATAAGGTCTCTTTGAGGCATTTCATCGAACAGTTCCTCTGCAATATCCAAGCAACCACATTTCGCATACATATCAATAAGAGCAGTGCCTAATTTAAGACTCATTGACATTCTTAACTTCTCCACATATCTATGAATCCAAATTCCAATATCAAGAGAACCTAAATGAGCACAAGCAGAAAGTACACTAACAAAAATGGCCTCATCAGGATCAATCCCAGTCATTTGCATTTGCCTAAACAATTTTA